ATACATTCTGTATAACTAATGAGAGGTAACGGGATAAGCGAGTCACAAGGAATGTACACTAAGTCAGTATTCTGTGCTAGTCAGGGTACACTCAAATAATATATGATGACAACACTCTAATTTTAAACTAGGGATTCCATCATGAATTCCCGGCCCCTGTCCCAGGCTGATTCTGTGTTTTCTTTAAAACTTATCTCTACAAACACTTTTTTCAGAACTTTCTTGTTGCGGTGACTTCTGTCCCCAACACTGTGCAGGGCAAAGTTTGGAAAAATCTTGGCATTTTTAAAATTTTCCACAGAAACATTTCACGCAGAAATGAAAGAAATGACCTTGTCAAGGAACAGTTTTCCCTTTCTTGCCTTGTATGGTTCCTTCATTCAAAGATTCAATTTAAGGTTGAAAGCCAGGAGCCCAGGTTACAGATCACTACTGAAAAAGTCCAACTTAGGAAAATTTCAGCATTTCTTTATCCTTGGATAAAATCCAACCTTGCCCTTTCTGGGATTCCATAACCTTGGGTAAAAATGAAACGCAGGTCCAACAGAAAATGGTCTAGACTTTTAGACTTATCTCTGCAGTGAAAAGGAGGCTGTTGCTGTCCAAAGTTTAAGCAGGCAAATCACCAGTAATTACTGTATGCCGCCAATTATTTTAACTGTGTGCTCTTGTTCACATTATCATGAGAAGCTTTATTTTTAAAATTAAATGGCGCATGATGATTAAACCATAATGTTTCTTTGTACTTGGAATCAAATTTGAGGAGCATATTGTTTTCAGGAATCTTCCATGCCAATCCTATGCCAGAAATTCAGGGAAAAAACACCACCCAGTTAGGAATTTTCATTTATTTTTCATCCAAAATGTTCTTTTGCCTTAAAAAATAATATTGGACTTTTTCCTAATAACTCAACTTTGGTACAAAATTAGTATATTTTAAATTTCCAGTGCTCAGTGGTACAGCATTAAAAAAAAAACTATTCTGACTTTGCCACACAAATCTTAAAGTAAAAATAAAACACTGTGCATGTTGTTACCAGAATCTTGAGCTTTCCAAATCTCTGCCAATGAAGCTTATAATTTTCAGTGTTTTTCATTCTCTATCTTAAAATGTGGGATATTTACTCAGTCTTCAACAATTATCAGCATAAAAAGTAAACACAACATTCATACATCTTCCCCTCAATTCTAGGGAACTACTTTTGAGTGTAGAAAATTCCCAGGCCAGTAATGATTAGGCCTTCATTCCCATACAGGGAACTTGTTTCTAACTTTGTTTTGCACCATCAGACATCCATCAAGTCTTTCTATCTTCGCGTGTGCAATTTTTTTCCCCTCCCACGACCATCATCTGCTCATTTGCTCACCTAATTATCCGCAAGCACCCTTTCCAAGGTGATACTCATCCAGCAAAATCTGGAAATTGTAATTTCATTTTGTCTTGTAAACAAGAGACTTTCCCACGTTTCTAAAAAAAATGCGGGACTTTTCAAATGCATCCTTTCAAGTTTTTACTGATTTTTATGAAGCTTGACTTGATTTATTTTAAAGTCTGTGCATAAAACATCTAACCTTCAACATTTCCTTTGACCACGTTGGATAAGTCAGAATTGAATAAAACCCAGCTTATTCTCCTGAGAGGAACCGGAACTGCTCTTCCGGTCGCCCCCCCCCCCCACCACCCTTGGGGAAACTCGCTACAAATCAATTCACTCTCATTATCAATTCACTGCCATAGCAGACAATGCAATGCCATGAAATATACTGGGACAACGTGTACACGTGCCGGATGCAGTCCTGCAACAAGAAACAAGTCATTTAACCTTATTCCGTCATGGGATGGGCCGCACTTTGCGCGACTCCCGGAAACCCGGCCGGGTTGCAGGGATAAGAACCCGTCTGGGTTGCAATTCGATTCTATGCATGTACTGTAATGCATTCTGGCCGTTGTATATACTGTTATACTGTAGTCGGGAAATGGCGACTGAGTCCATTGCAATCTGCAGGATGGAAAAGGAATTGAATTCCAGGAAACGTGTGTCATCCTCGGAATCCGCGAGAAGTTTCGGGTCATTCTCGATGGATCTTGATTCGATTTCATGACAAAATTGACTGAGAGATTTTGTTTTCGATCATTTTTGTTTTCTCAACGATCGTCAAAAACGAAAGGTATTATTTTTCTGCGAGTATGTTTCACTTCCATTTAACTCTGATGGTTTTGGAGTCCAATAGTGAGCTTTTTCACAATTTGTTAAGTTTTGGACTTTTTGGAAACGGCATATCGCCGAAAAAATATACTTTGGAATTAATGTATCACCTGCAGTAAATTTTGTTTATGAATTGAGGAAACTAATGTCTTGATTTTTCAAACGGTTCGTATTTTCCTGGAACACCAAATTAAATAAAAACATATGTACGATCAATTTTCAAAATTTTTGTTAGTGGTTAAGCACAATATTGTGACGAGCTTGGCAAAGCCTAATTTACTGTAATACTTTATTGCAATTATTCTTGAACCACGATCGTGTTTTTTTCCTTAAAAAATAGAAGAGTGAGCTTTGATCTTCGAGTGCGGACTGCGGAGGCGTTGGAACGAACGATCTTTCGTGATACTTCTAAAGAGCGACATCTAGTGCGTGTTTTGTGAAGTTTATTCCTGTGTTTGCCCAGTTTGCATCGAGAGCGCTGCAGTTGAAGTTGGGCCTTATTGCTACCGTTCAAACCAAGTTAATGCGTGAAAGTGTTCTCATTTGTGGAGTCGCGGGGCTGTTGATGCTCTTGTTGCTCCGAGCAACGGCAAGCAAGAAGGCGAAGGATAGAAACATTCTTTTTGCACAATAATATAAGGCTTCTCTTTCTGCTTCGATCCAGTCAGTTGTTTCTCTCTTCAGTGGCAGACACGAACGTGTTCAAAGCACCTCCGGGAATTGATACCGTTTGCCCTTATTACATGTTTCAAGCAAATGTCTGCTGATTCGCTTCGGTTGAAGAACTTTGCTCAGAAAATCGAGGTGCTACTAATATTTCTCGAGTGCACTGCGTTCTAATTGTGACATGCCCTTTTTACTCATGAATTGAATCTTATTCACTGTATTGTATAATCTGAGGCCATATTATTTTCAGATGATGTTTCGGATTCGAAAGGGCGCAGGGAGTGTGTGATTAATTTCGACTAGCGCAATCCTTTCAATAAGAAAATCATTACGAACATATCCAGTTCCACGACTGATTTGAAACAATGACCATTCAAAACCAATTTTCTCCTCAGATCATGAAGAGTTTAATTTGATGAAGGCACAATATCTTGAGCAAAAAAGGAAGCAGGTGTATCTTCTTTCGTGGTGTATGCATTATATTTGAGTAATTTGACTACATACAATATTTTGTTATTTGGTGACTTCTGTTGGAATGCAAAAAATTTGAGTATTTTTCAACCATACATTTCTAAAGGGATAATAAATGAATGAAAAACTGCAGACTTTCTCGATGTGAGCTGAATATCGTGCGCTATTTGAGGATTATGAAAAAAGTGTTGCCAGCTACAGTATTTCCTTGAGGAACTTGAAGAATATTTCTGAATAAAAATATGTATCTTCCTCGTTTGTAACAAATCGTGATTAATTAAACCCAACACGAAAAGGGAAAAACTTATTTATTTAGATAAGAGAAATATGAAAGCTCGTTTACTCTGTTCTACTTCTGAAACCATGAGCTACTCTATTAGGTGATGACCTTTTGGATTATCCTCTACAATCTACATCCTGCCTAATGAAATTACGCGAAAAATCAACCATTTTCTCATAAGATTTTGCCTGATCGGCTTGTTCTAAGAAGGGAAGAAATCCTCCTGCAGTTATCAGCCTTAATCTCGAAAGAAGAGAAAATTTTTTTTAGCATACGATGCCAAAGATTAATTTATTCGAGCAGCATATAAATGCATATTTCATGAGGACGAATTTTGTTGAATGAACAAAATTGAAAATGATTTCATGGATTTCAGGGTGTATGCTTTGATTCCAGAAAGAAAAGAAAATTGTACTTGTTTTCTCATAGAAAAGTAAATCACACAGCCTCTAAATGAAAGAGGGGATTTAAAAAACAGGAATAACTGAAGGGGAAATGAATGAAATGGACAGTTTAGAACTGGGTATTTTGGGTTCTTTTTGAGGTATTTCAACTGGACAAAGGAATTGAATTGTGCAGCCATCAGAATGCAAGTTTTGAATAAGAACTCANAGAACTCAAACTCTTTTCAGAGGAGTTCATTCTCATTGCCCAGTTCTTCAATTGGCTGTTAATTCAATGGTTGTAATGGCAGAGTCAATGGTTAGCTCAGAATATTGAATGAGGTAATTAAAATTAAAAAGCCCTTTAACACTAGGTTCTGACTTCTTCTCTCAAAGAGGAATGAGGGTTTTTATACCCAGGCGCTTGGACTGGGTCAAGAAGAAATCAGGTGATTTCTTCCTGGCTCAGGATTGGCTGATTCAGGAAAAATTGAGGAAGTGATGACCACTTCTCATCCTTGAGTGAGGCTCAGTGAGTCCTTGCAAAAACCAGATTTTTGCAAGGCTCACTGGCCTTGAGATCCAACAAGTTTTTGGGTCTGGTTGTAACTGGATGCTGGAGCTGCGTTGCTTTGAGACGCAACAGCAATTGCAGGAGTTAATGAACCCAATTTAAAGCACAAGGTCTTCAACCTGTTCCCAGATAAGGTTTAGTTGAATACTTGAATTCAAGGAATATAATAATCACCTTGATTTTCTGAGCAAATGTCCAGAAACTATATAATAAGGCAGCAGATATTTGTTTGAACAATGTAGTAATTATAAAGGGTAATAATGTAATGATAATTCTGAATTTCAGGTCAGAAAGTGTCGTCCAAATAAGACAAAAAAGTGGGGGTATTTTTTATTTTTATTTATTTTTTCTCAAGTTGATTCCTCAGTGAAATGGGATGCGGGGCATCTCACGACGGGGATGCGTCGAGTGTGCACGCAGACCCTGGCACCCCTGTCGTCAAGCGGATCGTCGGCGAGGAGCGTCGTGGCTCGTCAACGTCATCGGCATCCTCGTCGTCGGCATCAGCCAGGGCCAAAAGGGAGCTCAGTGCAGCCCGGGATCTGCTGGATCAGGAACCCGGGAGCGAAGCAGAACCAGAGCCCGAATGGGCTCAGCAGGATCAGCTCAAGGGCGAAGAGGCTGAGGAATCAGAAGTCGTGCAGGTTTCATTAATTCGACCGCATTATAGTTTCATTCGTGAAATCTGAGGGTTAATTTAGGGCTGCTCCCCTTTTCCTTAAGACGTCACTGGCGGATATTACATTCCGCTCGCAATGACAGGGAAATTGAAATTACCGAGAAATTGAAATGACAGACAATAATTTGAAATTACAGTCAAATTAGAATTACAGAGGACTTGGAAGTACAGAGAAATTCAAATTACAGAGAACTTGAAATTACAGAGAACATTGAATTACAGAGATATTGAAATCATAGAGATATTTAAATTATTGCAGAGAAATTGAAATTACAGACAATAATTTGACATTACAGGCAAATTTGAATTACAGAGAACTTGAAAGTTCTGAGAAATTGAAACTACAAAGAAATTCAAGTTAAAGTAATATTGAAATTACAGTGAAATTTAAATTGCAGAGAAATTTAAATTACGGAGAAATTTAAAATACAGAGAACATTGAATTACAGATATATTGATATTACAGAGAAATTGAAATTGAAGAGAAATTGAAATTAAGAAGAAATTGAAATTACATTCAAATTACAGAGAAGATTGAACTGCAGAGATATTGAAATTGCTTAGATATTGAAATTACAGAGAACTTGAAATTACAGAGAACTTGAAATTACAGAGAACTTGAAATTACAGAGAAATTGAAATTACTGTACTAGTGTACACTGATGGTCTAATATGTGCAGTAAAAGATATCATGCTGTTGAACCAATTCTGATTTTGAAGGGATTCAGAAAATAGTTGTGCAGTACCTGGAAAGTTTTTGAGTTAATGAAATCGGTTTCATATGGGTATTTTAATTATAATAATGGGAATCATTTTATAGCCGAATATTGATCCGGGTAATCACACGATTGAAGAATTTTTTATTTAAGAATAAGGTTCAACTCGGCAACGTCATCCAATTGTATTAAGTAAAAAAAGAGTGACGCACACAGTGTTTTTCCTCAAGAATTTTAGTAAAAAAATTTCCATAGTTTTTTAAAGCAATTACTTGTTTTTAAAATTCAGTTCAAGTTTCAAAAATGAAATCTTGTAAAATACGTATCGAGTTCAAAACATTTCAACCTGATAGCATACATGACATACGAGAAACCCTCGGCAGACAAAAAGAAAGCATTTGATTAGAACGAAAGCAAAATGCATAATCTTAATTAATTAATTATCATTTTTATTATAGACCGCCAGAGTGAAAACAGCTCCGCCAAAGCGCATTTCTGCCACAGAACCTCCAATATTTTTCATCGTCGGTGAGTAAAAACTTGGTCGCTCCTAAAAAAAACAGTTTACTGATCTTTTGAAAGAGATTATTGAATATCTTTCGAAAAAAATTTGGCAGCAAATGTTGTAATCACTTTGATTTCAGAGATACTCAGAACATCGGTATAAAAGTCGGTATTGCAAACATATTTTAAGGTCATCATCAAAAACGTCTGAAGTACATGAACGCAAAAGAGCAGGTATTACTTATTGCATAATCTAATCGATAAAAAAACAATCAATTTTCAATCTAACACAACTCAACTAAAACTGATGTAATATCCAATCGAACCTAATCTGCGATTTTCAAAAAATTGCTCTTCTTTATCGTGATCACAGGCCAACATTATATGTTCTCAAATGGAAGAAAATAATTCTCCTTCACGGGAATACGCATGTTTATTCTTTCGTGCTTTCCTAAAAAGGTGGCCCTGGATCAGGAAAAGGCACCCAATGTCAAAAACTGAAAGAAAAGTACAACTTAATGCACGTGTCGACTGGGGAAATCCTGAGAAACGAAGTTGCCACTGGCTCAGATCTTGGAAAAACAATCGACCTTCACATGAGATCGGGCTCATTGATTTCAACGGTAAGCCCTGGCCGGTTTTCTGCTGATCGAATTTCAGCAAGACCAATTTCATCATTTTTGGCAAACACAGGATATTGTGATGAGCCTCTTGAAGAAAACCTTGGACGATAACCCGAGAGCCGAAGGTTTCTTAATTGACGGCTTCCCGAGAGACGTTCAGCAAATCGAGCTCTTCGAAAGTCAGGTAAAAAAAAAGAAAGAAAAAAATGGCGCCAAATTTGCGGATAATTAAGAAAAAGTTTTACTGTCTGAAATAAATTGCTTTAATTTTTAAAACTGAGAAACCTTTCTTCAAAACACATTTCCATTTTTTAAAAGACATTCCACTATAACTGCTTCATTGGTTACTGACATCATCTTTGCAAATAGCAGAAACTTTTCACCATTGGTCAACAGTGCCAGAATATATCTGCAAAATGGTGTGCCAAAAGGAGTAAAAGAAGGGGGGGGGTGCGAAACAAAATCATTAGAAGAGTTAAAGTAATGAAAAATTCCAATTTTTTTAGCATCATCCCTGCAGAAAAATTTTCAACAAAAACAGAGAAAAAATGAATTTTGCGCGGCTTTTTTTCTGCGCATTCCTGCTCTAGGATTAGAATTGCAGGATTATCAGAACCATGGCTTTCTTTTTCTGGGATTTTGGTGACCTTTGGTCAAACCAAAATGCAGAAGCCTGCAAAAAGAATCCTTGCACATGCCATATGATGCAAAAGAAACCTGCTGCAACCCAAGGGTTGAAGGTGTCAGGAAAAAATTGAACTCAAAAGAATTCATGCAGTAATTCTGCCTATTTCAGAAAGGGGCCAAACAAAATTAACACTTAATCTCTTGATGCATTTCTTGTGAGCCTGATGAGAACCAAACCCAGGTTTGGTTCCCAGGCTCACCCAAGGACAATTTCCTCATCTCAAAAAGGGAAGAATGAAAGTGGCCAAATCTAGCCTTCAATCTTAATCCAAAAAAGCATAATAGTTGATCAAGAACATCAGTTTTGTCACTCTGCATTGCACTGCCAACCTGATCAGATCTCTGGAGAATTTGTTCACGTGCAAAAATCACCAATTCCAAAATCAGTCTCTAAATTTGTTGCCTTTTGCAAAAAGCACTCTTGATTGTCTCTCTTTGTTTGCCATATTTTCATGACAATATATCATCTTAAACTAGGACAAAAGTCCGGGAGTTTTGGTTGTACCTTGTGAATGCTGAAAAGCGGCAAATAAAGTTTTCTGTTTGTTCATTCAAAAGTCCTGGCTGCAGCCCGGCTGATTGAATTGTGCTCTATTTTCTCCAATAAGAAACACATTTGAAAGTCCTTTCAACTCTTGTCAAGTTGTTTATCAAGAATAACGAGCTGCTAGCTCAGAATCAAAAACTACCCTTTTGAACTTCAGATTCCTTTTTTGCCTTTTGTGTGGCTGAGAAAAATCTTTCTGGTTTGTTTCCTCACGAAAGGCTTTCAAACAAAATAATTTTGAGCCTGCAAAAATATTATGAAACTTTGCCAGTCTGCAGTTAAGTTTTGAAAATTTGCCAATCCTCAAAATGCTTTTGGAAATTTGCTGGTCTGAGGGCCCAAAAAGCTGGGCAAACACTGAGTCTACTAAATGATTAAATGCTTGGCAGCCCAAATCCATTATACAAAAAGCTCTACCACACGTTCAATCCTTATTTGTCCAGCAGTCAACTTCGGTACTTTTACAATGGCATGCAAAATTCTCTTCTTTTTTTATTGGTCAAACAGATCCGTCCAGTGGATCTAATCATCTATCTCGAAGCCCCAGACGAGAAAAACGACTCATCACTTTCCACGAACACACCGAACCCATCGAAACAGCGTACAAAAGGCGTGTGCACAAGGTACCCATATAGAACCCAGATTCATCACCCACACAGCAAACATTATGAATAAAACACTTCCATCATCAACAGATTGATTGCAGCGGACATTCCGACACGGTTTTCGCAAACATTTCCAGCCTTGTCGCAGGAATCATGTACAGCTAAAGAAGAATTCTCATCGATATGAAGGGATAAATAACGAGACAATTGTCGATAATTCATGTTTTAATTGATTGCAAATGTTTTTTTTTTCAAATGCCACTTTCGAGACACCTGTGAAAGCAAAGCCGAAGTATTACTCAAGAAAATTCGCCGAAAGAAAATACAAACTTCCACACAAAAAAAAGGGGGATGAAAGCTTCTTTCATTTGCTTATGATTTCAGTGATATCATTATTTATCCACGGCTCAAATCTACGTTTTAATATTCCAAGAAATTTGTGTGAAATTACAGGTATTTTTGGGTGCAATTCTTGGTGGAACCCAATAATCTTGAGAACTATACTTCCTTGTACTTCAAAGCTTCCAAAAGGTTGCATAATTTAAATATGATTCTGAAAAATCTAAATAACATTTTCAATGAACTTCAAGATACTAAAAATCAACTGTGCAGAAAAATCCACACAGAATCCCACCTTTTGGCATCATGAATGAGCTCAAGAAGCAAAAAACTAAGACAAGTCTAGCTATATTGTTTACACACTTGATGGAAGAAGTGAAAAATCTGAAGAAAGAAGCACAATTTAGCCATTTTTATTAGGAATCACAGTGATTCTGTAGTAGAATTTTCTTAAAGTAAAAATCCAAATCATACCTCAGGTATGGCTAATTCAAAAAAAAAATGTTGAGAGTCCTTCTTCCAAGGACAAAACTGAGGATGATGGGAATAAATCACGAAGAAAGCAAAAACTAGTCGAAGTTATAAGTTTGTTTCCTTTCATGATCACATGAAATGATTTGTTACACTTATAAACTTCAAAAAATTAATAAGAAGTAACAAATGAGAATAAAAGGTCAAGTCGCGTGAATCTGGATACTTTTGAAAATCTGATTTCATGAAAAACGAAAAGAATGCTTTTCAAGTATTTCTTCTTCGTATAAATTTCAATTATGAATGAATGAAAACTCATTAAAATTTATTTTTAAATGACATCCGCGGCTTTTATTGGCATAGATTTTGAGTGGAGATGATCAAAACAATAATGCGGCATATCTTATTTTTATACTGTATAATCAAAGAAGTGTCTTTCATTGAATTTTTCTTGACTTCAATTTTTTTTTTTTACAATTCACTGATATTCTCTAAGAAGAAACAAATTTCTGGCTTTTCTTTCCAATCTTTCCTCTTGTGTGAATTCTTCTTCAATAAGCTTGTCATCAACGGTCGAATGCACCAAACCTT